CTTCATTGTTTTTAGTGTATGTGTGTGGGTGCTGTTGCGTGTTTGGTGTAGTGTGTATCACGCACGGCTGATATTTGTTCACCTACAAGTTGTTAAGCACTGTACTGAAGGTCTCGGCCTCTTGATCTGAGCTTTTTTCCAGCATAAATAATGCAGGTGTGTTGAATTATTCACTGATGTCCAGAATTCTCAAAATGGCATGCTGGGATTTTGTTACCTTTATGGCTTTTTTGTCACCCTTTCTCTTTCCTTTCCTTCCTATTTCTCCTCCTACACATCCAGACTCGTGTAATGCATCCCTGGAGGATGCTGCTTAGTCGCTGTCACTCAAAACTTTGCCATGATTTCAACCAAGGCCTGAAAAAGCTCAAACATTCAACCAACGATGGGTTTAAAGTGAAAGGCCTTCAGCAAGTCTCCACATGGAGGGCCACTTCTTGAATTCATAGCCACTTCTTTTCTTTTTGATGATAATTTGGGTTTATTTATTTTTTCCAGAACTAAACCAAATCTTCATTTTGTATCATCATGAATGTGTACAAGCGATCGGATGTCATGAGGAAATGTAACTGGCGATTTCCTTCGTGTAGCTCAAATGGTAGAGAATGGTGCTAGAAACGTCAAGATCATGGGTTCGATTCCCAAGAAAAGCAAGAGCGCTTTGGATTGGCTTTGGATAAAAAAGATGTGTCTGCCAAATGCATCAATGTAAGGCTACATCCACACGAAGCCAGAGCTTTCCCTATCCGATCTTTTTTTTTTCCCTCGTCTCAAGAAATATCTGCGTCCACACGAAACCGACACAAAGCGATGTAGTATACATGCCAGACCAGTATGTAGCGCTGTAATTCTGCCACAGAGATACACTAAAAACAGAGAAGAAGACTTGGACTATGCCTATTCATAAACCTTGAACGCAGTATACAAACGAACATGGAACAATACATTTATTAATCTGTGTTAATGTTAGTTAACCAAAACGCCGGATCCGTCTGGACGAAACGCCTATACGATACAAAATTTATGCGTATACAGCTAAACGCGTTTCCGTGTGGACGGGGATTAAATTTCACATAAAATTGTATGATTTGATTCTTAAGCAGTAAGATCCTCCCCTAAACCTAACCTTCAGTGGGAAAGAGATAGTTAGATTGTACAAATTCAAATGAGCTAGCCACCAATTCGCCAAAATGAAAAATAGTTATGAATTGCCATGAGAGTGTGTTGGTTCAAGACATTTAAATAATGGTTCGGATCACATTGCATGGGTAAAACAGTTTGTTTACAACCGAAGACAGATCAGACTTTTAGATCAATTTGATTCCTGTGACCAGAGTTTGGGGGGAATATTAGTTTATTTTTCCAACTGTCTTTCTTTTTTTCTAGTTTTTGGTAGGCAAGTAGAACCAATGGATGTATTTATGCCTTCAGAGCACTAACAAATGATTTATAGTTCACTGTGAGGTGAATTTCACGATAGCATTTTGGATTCTGCTCAGAGGGGGAAGCTGAAAGATTTGTAAAGTTTCCTTTCCTTTTCATTTCTTTCCTCTTAGACTTTTTACACACACTTGGGTTCAAGTCTCATCGTTCGTCCCATCTTTGAACTAAGCCAATCAAATTTCAAAGAGTGCGCACTTGCCTCCTGATTGCAACAATTATCAGAAAGACCCCTAACCCCACCTGAGTTTGACTGTCTGTAAAACTCATAGAAACACATGGCAAATGTATAGAAATACACCTTGTTGCCAGTTGCTTTGTCATTTGGCTCTTGTTTTCAGAGGAAAGTGTTATTTGAAACATTTAGGAGCCATTTTCAGCTTCAGTCTATAGTATTGCGTTTTGTTATTGTGTTGTATACAATAATTGAGCATTGTAAGCACTCAGCTTTAATGGTATATAAATGGATAGCTTTGTTTGAGTGGATGCTTCTGGTGCACATACATGTCAGAAGATGGGCAGAATTAGGACGGTTTGTTTGTTCAGTCATTCTGTGGGCACGGACAGCTTGTTGTGTCTGGCTAATTGGGAGTCTGTAGCAGAAAGCTCTTCGGTCTGATCAATAGCCATTCACCAAGCAATAACATAACAGAGGATTGTGGCTCTACTCGTCTGAGACAGACCGACACGGATTCCACAAAACAATCCAAATCTTTTCTTGTGCTCATAGGACTGTCAATCTTAGTTTTACAAAAGCAGGTTTTCACGAATACTGTACACTTGGTGTACCATAAATAAAAAAGAAAAGCAATAGATGCACAAATCCTATTTTTGTGGTATTCTTCAAATCATTCAACAGTGTTATAATTTTGACATAATCTGTTGGTTTTCAATTAATTGTTTAAAAAAATATTTCAATTGCAATGTAATTTCAATTACAAAAAATAGCTTAATGTAACGATTCAGTCCACTTAAGGCAAGTGTAGTGAAGAACCCAAGTGCAGTTTATTTACAGGTGAAATCCAAACATAATCCGAGACTTGACTTGACATGAACAGACTTGACTAGAACAGACTTGACGAGGCATAAACAGACTAGACTCACCAACAGCGGGTTACAACATCAATACACGACGACAGACAATGGCAACATGAAGGCTACTTATAGCAGACAAGGAGGGTCACATGACATGAACAAACCAATGGGGAACAAGATACATGACTAAGACAACTAATCAGAACATGACACAATGAACAAGAGAACCAATAGCATGAATACATGAGGGCAAGGGAAGCATGACACAAACAGGGACCATGATTAAACTCCAAAATAAAAGACATGAAAACATGAACAAGAAACACAACCCAAAACACCACATTACACTTAATTACAGTAATTGCACAATTTATATATATATATATATATATATATATATATATACATACAGCTGTGTACTATATGCTTAATTTATTTTGTAATTCCCCATAGCAATAAATGCAATATTTTGATACATATAACAATCTTCAAAAAACAAAAAAAGGTAAATAAATAAAAATTAACTGCAAGTTATTTTTTACTTTTCAAATAAAATTTTTATTTTTATTTGAAAAATTATGAGAAATTGTATATTAGGGATATACGTTAAATTTGTTCATATTTTTTCTGTTATTGTTATCTGTGGGAAAAGTAATATTCATTAAACTTCTTACAGAAATAAACTCTTTAAAAATAATCGCTTTCTACATGTTGAGAAGAAGTATTTTATATATATTTTTTTTCATTTTGTCAATTTTTAGGCACGTTGTAATTTTGTCATTCATCCAAGTTACTGTAGGAAAAAAATAATCACACAAATATTTTTTATAAGTATGTAAATAATTATAAAACAACATTCCACACACACTATTAAGCCCATTCTGTTATATTTTTATTTGTTTATTAATTTTGTTCATTTTTTAGATTTGTTCCATTTATTGTTCATTTTCAGTTTAAAGAAATCAAGAAATCGTTTCAAAATGCAATCAAATGTAAAAAAAATAAATAAATAAATAATCCTATGTTTTATATATTTATATTTATATTATATTTATATATATATATCAAGGTAAACAGAACACAACAACATAAATGTATTTCAGATATCATTAAGGTTCAATAATTTAATGTACATTTTAGAAATTAGTCTGATTCAAAGGAGAATCAGAAGGCTGAATCCTGACTGACAAGAGGAGGAGTCAGGGATGGAGGTGGGTATTTAGCTATTGAGCAATGCAGAAGCTGGTGATAATACTGAAGGACCTTATATATGGGTGCTGTGATAGGTGTCACATCCCTATAGGTAATATATATATACTATATGTAGTCTGTCCTCCTGAGATTGATGAACCTTTAGCAAATTAAAAGGAGTTTTGAACCCCATTTCGTAACGTACTGGTGGAAAGTGCTGTGCTGTATATAGATGCTGACAGAGAGTGTGACATATAGTATGAGTGTAACAGGAATTTGTAAATCTACTGTTCTTTTGTTCATTTTTTAGATTTGTTCCATTTATTGTTCATTTTCAGTTTAAAGAAATCAAGAAATCGTTTCAAAATGCAATCAAATGTAAAAAAAATAAATAAATAAATAATCCTATGTTTTATATATTTATATTTATATTATATTTATATATATATATATATATAGATGACTGACAATTAGCATACAGTTTGGATTGGCGGTATGGTTCTGCTCTGGGCAAGAACTCCCTGCGCATCCATGCAGCCTAGCATGGATGAGAGCAGGGAGAGCAGCAATAATCCCCCCAAGGTAAACAGAACACAACAACATAAATGTATTTCAGATATCATTAAGGTTCAATAATTTAATGTACATTTTAGAAATTAGTCTGATTCAAAGGAGAATCAGAAGGCTGAATCCTGACTGACAAGAGGAGGAGTCAGGGATGGAGGTGGGTATTTAGCTATTGAGCAATGCGAAACTGGTGATAATACTGAAGGACCTTATATATGAGTGCTGTGATAGGTGTCGCATCCTTATAGGTAGACGTGGATCAGCTGGGAGTCAGCTGATGCGAGCTTGACTAACGTGACCTGCCAGAACTAACGCTACGAGTGTGACATATAGTATGAGTGTAACAGGAATTTGTAAATCTACTGTTCTGCAACAACTTTTTAGGTGGTGAGTTGTGTATGCTGGAGTCACTGGCGTATTTACCTGTGTAGCTGAATATTATCGCCAGTGTATTATGTAACTCTGTAGTCCATAGTGGATGGTATTAGCAAATGGCAAGCGCTCTTGACTGGGTTTCCATTTAAAGTGGCTCATTGTTGTGAATCAGACAGATACGAATGAGATTTCCACAACAGGAGGATGCTAGTTTGACACAGTTTACACCCTCTTGAACCTGGCCTGTTCTAATCGAATGTTTTCTCCTCCTGTCCTTCTCTTTCTCTCCCTCTGAACCTGTCTGTCCTTCCCTGTCTTCCTTTCTTCCTTCCTTCCTTCCTTCCCTCCATCCTCTCCATCCTTCCCGTCCCCATCACGCTATTCGATTCCAGTGGCGGCCACGAAAAACAAAGTGAGAGGTGAGTTGGCTCCTCCATCTTCCCTGCTGCTTGATAAATGGGGAGACACCGTTCCCAATAAGCTGAGCTGAGATAGCTGCCTTATCACTGCTATGAGCCAAGCAGGCAGTACCACCGTCCTGTTCCTTTCCACACGGCCATTATTTTTGCTATTTACTGCCCCTCTCTTTACTGCCCCTGCTTTACCTCCTATGCCATCATTTCTTCTCTGTCATCTTTTTCAACTAACAGAAAAGCTGCTGAACTTCAGTGCTGCACAGAGCTTAGCCGCATGCAGTCACTTGTAGCATGGCTAACCTTAGTGTGAAATAGCTCTAAAACATAATGACCATTTGTTTATATCACTCCGCTTGTCAGTTTTTATGTCAGACAGACTGTCAGTCTGTGTATTTTTCAGTCACTCTCTCTCTCAGTAGGTGGCGATAAGTTGCCTCTGAAGTGAGTCACTGAATTGCTCAGTCACAACACTGATTCATTTATATTAGCGAGTCATTGAATCATTCATTCAACACATTCATTCAAAAATGTCGAATCATTCAGTCCATTCAGTCCACTGTCTGAATAAAAATATTTCCCTGATGTATCCAAACATATTTCTTGCTTCTTTTTTATATTTTATTTATTAAGTATATTACATTTTTACGTTTAAAAGCACAACCAATAATTGTGAATTTTATAGTAACTACATATTATAGAAGTAGCTGGTGTCAAATAAAATAGTCCAGAAAAATTCTTCAGTGAAGAAACCAACAACAATGTGTCAATTTTAAGGATGGACCTCCAAACCCGTGTTTGCATTGTGTCAAAGTCCAAGGCATTTTTATCTTCGATGTTTACTGTTTGCGGAGTATTAAACTAACTCTGTGGTTTATGGCTGTATTCGTTTGGCTTTATTGTGACAGTGTGTCCTTCAGGCCACGGCTGTATAATTTCACGGTTGTTGTTTACCACATAGTTAGACATTAAATTTAAAAGATACTTTGACTAAGTGGTTCAGTGAGAAGCAGTGAAATATTTACAACGGGAAGTTCACAGAGGTTATGTGTGACTTGGTATGCCATAGGGAAATGAGATTTCTTTGATTACCCACAAATACTTGTGCACAAAATACACACAGAGTCAATCAGTTCAAACAAATATATTCAACTCCACGATAACCAGCTGATGAATTATTCACTGTTGCATTTGAAGTATTCATTGTTGCAAAAACAGATTTAACAGTGAAAAAGCTGTGGGGACAATAAAAAAGGGGCAAAATTACACCAATGTATTGTTTTGTAATCCACACCGCTATACTGTTTTGAAAGAGGGAAACCATATGTCCTCTTTATCCCGGACATGTCTTAATTTCTAAATTGCCTAAAATGTAAAGGTTTTGGCTTTGTTTTCATATTGTCATGCCCTTCACAGGATTGGTTGATTAATTGGCCAACATACTTTTATAGAAATACAGTATGTTCGATAGATTTTACTGTGGTTTAATAATGTCTTTTTCTGGAAAAAAAATGACAGTAAACAAAAACCCCATAATACAGTTTTGAAGGTTGTGAGTTGTGAACATTACATGATCTAAGACTTCATATGGTGCATGCCATTGTAAAGATTATCCAAAGTCTATCCAATGCTATCTCACGATCAATTCATATGTATTTTACAAGGTGGCTAATTTGTATGAATTCATAAGACCTCACTTGTACAATTTTGTACGATTTGTCTAGACCCCAGTGACGGGTAGGTTTAGGGGTGGGTTTAGGGGTAGGTCATTCATATGGCCAATATGGCCATATTGGGGAACTCGTAAAATACGCACGATTTAGCAAAAAATCGTACAAATTCGTAATTAGCCGAATTAGTCACCTCATAAAATATGTACGAATTGCCATGAGATCGGATTGGTCTATCCCTCACAGACTTATTTTCATCCCTGTTAAATTCAATATGGCATCTAACCTGACTAAGGTCTATCAAAAATCCCGGACATTTTAGGCAATTTAGAAATCCCAGCCAGGACACGTCTGGGAAAAAGAGGACGTATGGTCACCCTGTTTGAGAACAGCTTTGCTATGTTTAGTTACTTACTCTCCCAACACTGTGCAAAAATGAAAATCTTGCCTGTGCAATAGATCTGAATGTGACATTTGTTAGCTCTCCCAAAGGTCTGCCTCATTTTTTGAGGAAGAAAAATTATCACTGCAAATATTTGGAGTCTGGTAGATGAAATTAGGCCTATGTGTACAGAATGAGTGAGACGCTATCAGCGACTGACTCCTCTAAACCACCTGCTCTCCTCATGAATAATGCACAAGACTACATACTATACACACACTCACCTCAGATGGCAATTTTACCTGTGCACCATCTGCCTGCAGCAGCACGGCATGGTATCGGCTTGTGTGTTCGCGTTCGGTGAGTAACAGAGTTGTTTTTGTTGACGGCACTTTCATAGGAACTGTTCCCTTTTGTCGCAGTAAATTACGGCATTAAAAAGAGAGGAAAAAACCGACTTGCTACAATTAAGAAACTGTGATTGGGATGTTTGTTTACAATGGCAGGAGCAGCTGCACACTGGTCTAATTGTGCAAATGGAAGTGGAACCGCTGAGGCCAGTTCATTTGTTGTTTGCTAATTGATTAGATTTCTCTAAATCAGAAATTGCAGTGCATCTTCAAAACTTTTCATCCGCGGTGTGTGTGGGGGGGGGTTGTCCATGTTTTCTGCGTTTAATCGCTTTGATTCACACGATGTGCACAGCAAGCTCATTAGACTCTTTGCAATTAGTGCTATGACTGGTTGAAAGTGATGTGTGCAATTTAATAAGTTAAATGCTTTCTCTGTTCCCAACTTAATATGCAGAAACAACTATTACAAACCATCCCAATATAGCAACATTTTCTATCTGGACTATCTTTTTGGTTGACCCAGTGCAGATGGGGCTAGTTTTGGGAAAGCTGACACTAGTTTACAACTCACCGTTAACATGGAATTTATTTTTGTTAATGCATGTTCTTGGTATTATTGTGAGCACAATATTCTTTTACATTTTGTATGTTGGATTATGAAAGACATTTATAATGGTACAAAATATTTTTGTTTCAGATAAATGTTTGAACATAAAAAAGTATCAGGATTAAGCAGCACAGCTTAGTTTTTAACATTGATTATAATAAATGTTTCTTGAGCAGCAAATCAGCATATTATAATGATTTATGAAGGCTCATGTGACCTTTACTGACCTTTACGATTGTTGCTTGTCATATACAATGTGGCCCCTGGCAGACTGTGTGATATGAGCCTTCATGTATTGCTGTGCATCTAGTTGTTGATTGGTTCTTTATTAGACGGCAGCCGCAGGACCAGTCACACTGCAGGACTGTGACCTACAACTTTCCCAGAAATCCACAGGAGTCCGAGATTAGATGAAAGCAATTAATGGTCCGTAGGTGAACATGACACACTAAGCAGTCCAAGACTGGCCTGCAATGAAAAATCTTTTACGATCCCCAAAATTTGTCTTAGACAGTGGCATTCGCACAGTGTTCTTCTAGATTTAGCAAACTGAAGACCATAATCATGACAAGGCCGTTCACAACACTTCCCAAAATGTCAAAACAAACAGACACAAGGGCATTTTTAAGAGCAGCAATCTGGTTTAACACTGTCAGGGTGTATTGAAATCAGTTGGGCTGTACTATTCACTTCTAATCGGTGTCGTTCATCCTCTTCTGCTTAGTGTCCCAAAGCTCTAATTAACTCCTCAAACATTATTCTCAGCCCTAGGGAAAGACTGTGAGTGCTGAATGAAAAGAATATCAAAGATAAGCACCTCCATTTTCACTAGTGCCCCTACTGATTCCCATTGGGACACCCACCCACGGTGATGAGAACTCCGCGTATTAATCTTACCTTGACTCACAAGAGTGTAGCTGTAACCACAGAAGTCCCCTAACGGTGCGTTTCAGGCATTTCCAAACACCAAAGCATTGAGTTCTGGCTGTTTTGTCACTGTAAAACACTGTCAGCACATCTTAAAAATGAATTTTGTGTTTTGGTAAACTGGTCTGGGATTGCGATGTCAGCACCTGGCAAGGCTCGCCAAATTGGCACCTGTTTATGCACTTCATTTCTGGCACACAGCATCCTGGGAACATACACTTGGCATCGTACCCGAATAGATGTGCTTTTTTTTTGGACTGGCTCTGCCTGGTAAACCTCAAACCTGAATTAGTCTGTTTGATTTGGTCTGGCAAATGATGAGGTTGAATCCAAGAGAGATGTCTAATTGAGACCGTAGATTAAACCAAACTTTCAGGCATTGACAGAATTGGTCCACACATATGTCAGGATTTGTAGCGTTCTATTTGTGTCGTATCAAACCAGAGGTTATGCCAGAGTAATTCGCCCTATTTAGTTCTTTCTCCATCAACAACAGTTCATATTGGACTGATTCCGCCTACCAAGAGTCAGATCTTGAAGCGAAATATTTTGTGGGCAAAAAAGGTTGTCGTCAAAAATGTAATGACCTATACAAAGAAGTCAATTTCAAACCAAGCAGCTTTCTATTAGTCAACATTGCAAATTTGCACAACCAACTAGAACATGAACAAAATCTTCATGTGAAACTGTTTCACCCTTATGTTAGACTGCTGATTGTATGGATTCCTGTTGAAATGACTGGATTTCGCCTGTGAAATTATACCAAGTAACTGATCAAGAATCGTACCACACTTTCACTGTTATACAGCAGCTAGTCCCACCCCTTGAATCTGATTGGTCAATTGTGACCCTGGACCACAAAACCAGTCATAAGGGTCCATTTTTTTAAATTGAGATTTTTACATCTGAGATTTTTACATGTATCATCTGAAAGCTGAATAAATAAGCTTTCTATTGATGTATGATTTGTTAGGATAGGACAATGTTTGGTTGAGATACAACCATTTGAAAATCTGCAATCTGAGGTTGCAAAAAAATCTAAATATTGAGAAAATCTCCTTTAAATT